TATATATATATATATATATATATATATATATATATATATATATATATATATATATATATAATAAATTCCGGCATACAGTTCAACTTCGAAACGAGCAAAGTGAGTGTTATTAGTCGGTAATACATCTTATCCGGATAACGCAAAAATGGCACTTGTTGACAAGTGCATGCTTCAGAATCGCTTGAGCTGGTTTTGAATTCTTGCACTCGCATGAGCCAAACTGTCCTCTTTAAAGGCTGAACTTTCGCGAACAGTCTAGCGTTATTTTGCTGCCTATAATTCGACTGTAAACCAAACTATATTTGTCGTTTAAATAAATCAACTGGTTGATTTTCCCAATACGAGTGGTTGGGTCTGTTATAAAGAGATGGGCAATCCTATCCTATCATGAAACTGTTGAAATTTGCCATTCCCCCCCCTCCCTCCGCCTGAGATGCTCATTGGAGATTTAAACAAACTAAAAGTGCCGGGAAAGGTGGAAGTTTGAAGCGATGAAATAGTCGTTAAAGAGTGCCACAGAAACCAACGAGAGGACTTCGTCAGAGTAGCAGCTACCTTATGCAAGCCTATTGAAGGGACGAATGTCGGATATATTCGCTAAACATTCCGTTACTGGCGCTAGTCTAGAAACATAAAAAGGAGGAGAGGAAAGAGAAACGAGTGCCTAACTACTAACATTATTGCCACTGCAGGCTGAAAAGCAGGTAATCTTCACACATGCACAATGGCTAGTTACCACACACATACCATCACGTGAGTAATTCATTAAAGGACAACTCAAAGTGATACGAGTACAATAGATGTGTCACGGACGCAAGCGGACCCATTACGCCTAATATTTTACTCTTCTAGTCGTTTCCTTGCATCGGTGCAAGTTCGCCAGTTTATTTGGAGTGGAAAACACGACAGGAATTGCAAATCTATAGTGGCAACCTTTTTGAGATTATGGCTCAACTTGTGCAAGTATGTGCATCCACCTGTGGCTTTGTGGACTCCCGTTTCGCAAGTACTTTTCCCGAGTGCTCATATTCAGCTTCCGTAGCAAAGATTTGGTGACGGCATGCGAGACGACCCGAGAAAAGCCATCCTTTTGGAGTCTGCGAATCTGATTACAAAGGATTGTTGACGGATTGATGTTGTAAAGTAAGGGATGTACAAAAAGAGGGAGAGTACGAATAGTAAGCACCAGTTTTGTTCTGGTTGGCACAAGGCAGAGAGGGAGAGAGGGATTGGCGCAGGCTCGCCGAAATGTTGAGGGTTGCCGAAAATGCCAATGCACTTATTCCAAGAACCGCATCACAGTGTGGCTGCCCCACCATGATGGTCTAGTGGCTAAGGTACTCGGCTGCTGACTCGCACGCCGCGGGATCAAATCCCGCCCGCGGCGGCTCCATTTTCGATGGAGGCGAAAATGCTGTAGGCCCGTGTGCTCAGATTTGGGTGTACGTTAAAGAACCCCATGTGGTCGTAATTTCCGGAGTCCTCCACTACGGCGTCTCTCGTAATCACATAGTGGTTTTGGGACGTTAAACCCCACATATGAAGCAAAACACTGTGGCTTTTCGCTGCGTAGTCACTCAAGATCCCAACCGCCTCAAGATATTTGTTGGTCAGTTTCGGACATCCCGGTCATGGTGCCTGCATTTTGATAAAGGTGAAATGATAAAGGCCCGGGCACTTAGATTGAGGCGTGCGTTAAAGAACCGCTTCTGTGTCGAAATTTCCAGAGCCGCTCATTGTGACTTCCCTAATCGTAGTTTCGGAGTGTAAGACCCCAACAATTATTTTTTTTTAGTACTGGTAGAAGTGGTGAATTGCCGTAAATCTACAGTTCACCAAATTCCGTTTATATTCTGCAATACAGCTTCAGATCACGGTGTCAAGTGGCAAGTCTACTTACTGAGCAGCTATTTCCAAAAAAAAAAAAAGAAAACTGTTTCAATAAGGTTATTTCAGGGTTCTAAATCGGTTTTCTCATTGCACTGTCTGTAACTACATAATGTAACTACAGTAACCGTTCTGACGTTCCTTTATAGAATGATACAGAGGAGTCAATCGAGCTGTATAGACAAAGGCTATACAGAGGACTCAATCAAGCTGTATGGACAAGGGTGTCTCGGAACAATGTGGTTAATTCTGTCCGAGCCCCGCCGCGGTGGTCTAGTGGTTAAGGTACTCGGCTGCTGACCCGCAGGTCGCGGGATCGAATCCCGGCTGCGGCGGCTGCATTTCCGATGGAGGCGGAAATGTTGTAGGCCCGTGTGCTCAGATTTGGGGGCACGTTAAGGAACCCCAGGTGGTCGAAAAGTCTGGAGCCCTACACTACGGCGTCTTTCTCATAATCATATGGTAGTTTCGGGTCGTTAAACCCCAAAAATCAATCAATTCTGTCCGGGGAAACAAAACAGAACAACCAATCCCTGTCAGGGCCATATGGTTCGAACGCGGTGTCAATTTGCTGTTGAATACCCATGCCTGTAATCCAAACATCATTAACGCTGAACTACGACCTTCTCTATCCCGATGACCAAGCTATATATACTTGCTCCACTAATCTCATGAATCCATAAAAAATTCTTAGAAAAGACTTCATGCGGTCACAGTAAAAACGTCAGCAGATGAAGTGGTCCTACGCGATGAGAAGCTCACCGTTCCACAAGTGCGCCATAAAGGAAAAAAAATGGCAGCATATCCACGGAGTGAATGATGGAGAGTGGGGCAAAGCATGCGTCCGTCCATTCGTTCTTGCTTCCATCCGTCCATGCGTCCGTCTGTGTGACCGTCCGTGTGTCTATTCGCCCGTCCGTGCGTGCGTCTGTTCGTGCTTCCGCACTTCCATCTGTGCGTCTGTCCCTGCGTTCGTCCATGCATCCGCCCCTGCGTCCGTCCATGTGTCCATCCGTCGGTGCAGCCATCCGTGAGTCCGTCCATGCATCTGTCTGTGTGTCCGTTCGTCAACCTATTCAACACTCCAAGTACCACCATCTCGCATCTTTTCATCATATATTTCCGATATAGGAGCACCGCCATCCAGCGGACATTCCAAGGGCTAAATGAGAGGTGGCACACGCACACTTTCTTACGGCTTGCGCTTCGTGTCTACTTCCCACCTTTAGCCACTTCGACTTCATGGTATATACTAGTTCACTGTATTCATGGCACTGCGGCTCAACGCTCGCTAAACCTTTTTAAAACCAAGGAGGTTATGCCCTGCGAGTATAACGTAGCAACCCGTTTGTGTCAAATAGTGCTCAATGTACATGCCAATGGCTGCTAATGGGGAATGAGAGACAGGAGCATTCAGCTATTAGTTAACGCGCACGCTACGAATTTTTTTATTGTTCAGCAACGCACAGGAGAAATCTACCGCCGGCATCACCTTGCAGGTCAAAACGTAAGACTGGTTACACACTACGACTACGAGGGACGAACGGGTGCCGCTATAAGGAGCTTCGCTCCTAAAAAGATATCGTCCTATATATGTGAACGTCACCTCAAAATAGGGGCCATTCATGCGCTAAGCACTTTGTTTCGGATGAAGGAAGTCAAGAAACTTAAAAGGACCCGCCGCGGTGGTCAAGTGGTAACGGTGCTCGTCTACTGACCCGAAGATCGCGTGATCGAATGCCGGCAGCGGCCGCTGCATTTTTGATGGAGGTAAAAATGCTTGACGCCAATGTACTTAGGTTTAGGTACACGTTTAGAATCCCTAGATGATTGAAATTTGCGGAGTCCTTCATTACGGCACCTGTCATATTAATATCGCGGTTTTGGGATGTTGAACCCCAAAATTTATTTTAAGTGTTAAAAATAGCATTACGGTTGCTATTATGGTAAAGATAGTCGATTTAATTCAGAGAACAACCTGACATTGACGTCACCTGCCATGCTATCTTAGCGGCTGCGATACTCAGCTGCTACGCACGAAGGCGCGGGTTCGACAACCCTTCATCCACGGTGATGGTGGCCACTTGCATCATATATGTTCCGACGTCCCCCAATAAAACACTAGGATTGAATTGATATGCATTTCATGTACACATATTTATTCTCGCAAGCTTAGCACGTACTTTCGCATTTTACAACGAAAACACGCAGGTGCTCTGCGCACTCATTTTGAAAATAATGCTAGGCACAGTATACTGAGTGGAAAAAATCAGGTAAATGTGTTTTATTGTCTATATTATTGTCCCAAAGTGCACACGGAATACTTAGTCATGTTTGTATGTCTTCGTGCGTATATACACATGCAACGCCAAATAGTTTAGGAGGAGAAGGGAATATTTCACAAATTCTCTCCTTCCTGCCCCAACCCCACCCCTAGCTACGTCAGTGTCTGTACTGTTACAATTATTCGGTCCGGACAGCATGCCTTACGTGGCACTCAAAGTGCACAAAAGCTGATCTGCCAGTCCTATAGGAATCTATTGAGCAGTCCTGGCGAGTTATGGCTTAACTGGCGAACGCACTTGATATGTGCAACGACCACTACTTCGGAATCAGTAGGCAGTTATTGCAAAGTAACGCTTCAGGAAGAGGGAACATAAGCGTGAAGGTATGCTCAAAAAAGCAGCGGGGCACCCCTCCTGCTTGCAGTGCATCGTGACTTCTAACCCTTACAACACCTCTGTGGCGAACTTCTTTGAATTAGCCCCGCCGCATTGGTCTAGTGGCTAAGGTACTCGGCTGCTGACCCGCAGGCCGCGGGTTCAAATCCCGGCTGCGGCGGCTGCATTTCCGATGGAGGCGGAAATGTTGTAGGCCCGTGTGCTCAGATTTGGGTGCACGTTAAAGAACCCCAGGTAGTCAAAATTTCCGGAGCCCTCCACTACGGCGTCTCTCATAATCATATGGTGGTTTTGGGACGTTAAACCCCACATATCAATCAATCTTCTTTGAATTAGACTCGTAGTGATGCTTCTTTGCATTCTAACACAAGAATATCAGGACATAACTGTGTTAGTACTTGAGGTGATGGTTCTTTGTGTTTGTTTCTGCAGAGACAACACCGCTAAAACTTGATCCCCAGCTCTTGGATAACAATCCATACGAAGGGGGTGACCTCAACCGGAAATGTGTACTCACGCTGAGCATCGTATCTGTCGTTTTCAACATCGTCGTAGGAGGCACAGGGTTCGGTGAGTGAAGAAAACCTCGTTTCTTGTGTGGAACCTTTTACGTGGAATGATTATCGGTACTGTAGTGATTTTTAAACTGCTCTAGTGAGCGGTATTGTGTGTTTTAGTAGAGTATGTCTGCGATTGTAATGTTACGCTATACTTCAGTGAACTTCGACAGCCAGTTTGCGCTAAGTGTCTGCAGCCTTTTTCTTCTTAATAGTCAAAGTACAAAGCGCCACGGTTGGTTCTTGTCACTTTCTGGTAACGCTTTGTATCCTTCAGAATTCGCTCAGAACTTCCGTACTTGCCCTTACCTCTTTTTTGTCTATTTCTTTTTTTCTGCTCCTCTTGGAATCCAGCTTCACCAATCAAATGAGAATTTTTCACGCACAAACGAGAAACGTGGAAAACCGCTACTGTTCTTCAAATGCCACTGCATATTGTTTTTTGTTCAACCAATATGAATGCTTCGGTAGCGAAAAGAGAAATAGAAATAAATGGCACAGGAGAAGCGTTTTTTTTTTTCGGAATTAACCAACACTTGTTTTCATGTCAAGTCCACGTAATGCTAATGTTTGCTCTGTAGTATTTAATGAACACAAAGAAAAGTTATGGGCTAATAAATGTCACTAATGAGACCAAGCAAGCCGATTTCAGTGCTCTAATATTTCTGAGACGCATTTTTCGTTAGTACAGGCACAATACTTAGCTGCAATCATATCGCCGATATGGCCCATGTAACCCTGGTACACGTTTTTTTTAATTGTGGGCTGCAGAAACTAGAGAAACTCAGTAACCGAGGTGATAGAAACCCTTTGTACATCGCGCTAGCTAGAACAGGGCAGATAAAAGTATCACTAAAGAAAACTGACAAGCAGGAAAGAGAGCAAATGTTTACAATATAAAAGGTGGCATATTTTTTGCTTCTTCAAAATGAGCCTGGAGCAATGTTTTCTTACCCTTTAAAAGAAGCTCTTGGGCAGGCTGAAGCCTAAGAATGGTTGTTTTGACATAGACATTTTAATTGTGACAATAAATTATATTCTGAGAGGTAAAACTGAGAGGTATGAACACCGTTGGTGAACTGAGTTTTTATTAGAAAATTGACCGCATGTTTTGTTCAGGAAACATCAGGCAGCACTCCCCGCGAGAGGTAGAACTCAATTATCCTCTTGATGCGCAGTATACATGTACGATGTGATAAGCGGTCACATTTCCTACGATTTTGTTGTAGCTGGGAATTGAATAGCAAAATTAATGTTAGAGGCGAAGTTCTCCGTAGGCGTTTTTCATTTATACGTGCATACAAAGACAGAAAAACTTTCAAGCTCTGCCACCTCATAACGTCCACAACGGTTCGACTTAATATACTTTCTGCTTTACTGTTCAGTTTTAACTGTTTTGCTACGGAGAGGTCGAGGTCTATATTACCTCGGCTACTCAATATTGATAAGGTATGCAGAAAAAAATACTGAATTAAACTGAACAATCAGCAAAAAAGATTATGACGACAGTCAGGACCTTTTTGCTGGGCATTTTTAAGGAGCTCGCAAACTTCATTATTCTGCATAGATTATCAGTTTAATAAAAAAAACCTTATTTTTTGTGGAAAGTATGAAAATTAATTTGGATTGAATACAGCATGCCTTGACGACTTTTTTGTTGTTACAGTGTTTGCGTTCCAAAGAAACAGTGCTTCGATATACGCATTCGCGGTAAGCTTATTTCTTTTATTGATGTATTGTGTTGGTCGCTGCGGCTTGTGAGCTGGTGATGTTTTTGCTTTACGAGGTAATCTCTCTTCCAGGCCGAGTGCCTTCTGGACATGCTGTCTTCGATAATTGTGATATGGCAGTACTTAACGCCACATTACTCGTTTGCAAGAGAACGTCTGTAAGTACACATATCTAGCATAATACTTATATTGCAAAGCATGATGTTCAGTTTATATAGCGTAATTTGCTTCGCGACACACAGAAACAAGTGCTATGAAAAGAGACCAATGGTGCAATGGCAGTTGAATTTTTATTATGCTTACATAAAACATGAAGGAAAAAACAGGGAGGTCGTTGCACTTCAAGGCAGGCTGTAACAACAAACCTTACGTAGTGAGGTCACTGTTTCGAGGGTTTTGAAACTATATGGTTGCCAGCCTTTCATACTATGTAGAACTTGTTGCCTGTGTATTTAGAATCAGTAATGCCAGAATGAATTGAATCTGTTACTTTAGTGCACAGTCAATATGCATGTTGTTTCTAGCACCTTGAATAACTTCGCATGTCCATGTCCTCAATACGAAGCATGGACAGCTGTTCAGTGTATTTCAGAGGACAAATATTCGTTCGCCTGACTTCAAATCTTTCAAGAAGCGCCCTATATCAACCTTGGCTGAATGTGATGTTATAGTCTACTCTGTACTTGTTTTGATTCTCGCTGTTATTTATTGAATAGTGCAAAAGTGAAGACCTACTGTGGCGTTAATAAGTTCGCTCACTATAGTGAAAAAAAAAAAGTGGCGAAACTCTGAATGCAGCCAAGTTTTGTATGTGAATATTTTTGAAGCCCAATCGTAGCTGGCCCAATCATTGAGATATTTCCACCTTCGTACGCTTTCACTTTTTTTTGTTGTTGTTGTTGTTGTTGTTGTTGTTGTTGTTGTTGTTCTGGTGATCTGGCTATGTGGCCGATAACCACGGGCAGCACCTGCTTCCTTCCGCTATCACTTTTGTTTTCCCCCTTTCTTTCGCCTGCGCGCCGGGCTCAACGTAATTGGTGAGGCGTTCGCTGGCAGTCGCACTCGTATTTACCCCCGTTTTGGTGCTTAAAGTGTGCCTTGTTTCTTTGTCGTTGTTTTTTCTTCTAGAGCCTGCATGCTTCTGGGACTGTTCTTTATACTCTCTGCAGTAGCCATTATCAGCAAAGCCATGGACGACCTAATCGTGCGGGAAAGCCCCACATGGGTAAGACGCCAAAGCTTTGTACGTTCTCAAGACTGCTTGTCGAGGCCGATAAGTTATGAAGCTTGCCGCGAATCAATCCGTCTCCCGGAGCGTGGAAGCACACGCTTCCGCCCGCTGTTCCGTCAGCCAGTTAGTCTTATCTAGCTTCGCTGAAGTGACTCTTGAGCCTTACCTGAGTGTAGGTCACCAGTGCAATTGGGAAATGAATGGTCTTAAGCGAAACATTCTTCTGAGTAAGCAGGAAGAATCGCACGTTAACGTTGTGGGTTCAACGCCACTGTCGTTATCACGAGCACGCCCAGCGCAGGGCAAAGGCCTCTCCCATGTTTATCTAATTAACTCTGTCTTGTGCTTGTGGCAGCTGTGAGCCCCGCTGCGGTGGTCTAGTGGCTAAGGTACTCGGCTGCTGACCCGCTGGTCGCAGCCGCGACAATGGCATTTTCGTTGGAGGCGAAAATGCTGTAGGCCCGTGTGCCCAGATTTGGGTGAATGTTAAAGAACCCTAGGTGGTCGAAATTTTTGGAGCCATCCACTACGGCGTTTCTCATAGTTATATGGCTGTTTCGGGACATTAAACCCCATATATCAACAGGACAGAAAGGTGGGCTAGTTGGTAATTCATAATTGTTATCAAATAATTCCTAATTGCATTCGTGCTGAGTGTTCCCCTTTGCTTCATGTGTGTGTGCTTCTTCCACGTTCCTAGTTCGCTGAACTATACATATCAATCATGTTGCGGTTGCGCTCATTGCTAGCCAGCTGTTGCATGAACCGTGGTTCAACAAAACATATTTGGTGAGACTGTGCATGGCTATCGGAAAAATTTGGAGCGCTAAAAACATGCATGCACAAGAATGAGAAGACAATACAGGCGCTGACGTTACCTTCTCGTTTTTGTGAATGTCTTGTTTTTTTTCTCCTGTAAAATGCCCTGTTAGTTTAGCGAACATGTTAAGCAGGTTATTTGTTACATGTCCTCGTCGACATTTTTGGAGAGTTTCAATTCACACGAAAGGCCAGCTTGACAATGTATGAATATTGCAGTTAGGAGAACCCCACTTCTAATCGCACTGCTCCTCAAGCACGTGCCAAAATATTCACGTAAGCATCACGAAGATGACAATGATAAAATATATTCGTAGGGCGGTTTGCACTGACCCCGTGTACAGCACGTTCAAATGAAGACATAGTACAATTCAATGTTCTTTCCAACGACGCTACGTTTACCGGAACTGTCACTCTTACAAACATTTTTCATATATTATGTACTTAGCACATATAAACTTACCACTTCAGACCCATCCACTGTAACTGCTAAGCGTACGTGTTCACAATATGAGATCTAATTTTGTGTGCTCAATAAGCAATACTCGCTGGTGTACACTCAAATGTTTATATTTCTTTCGGGTTTTCTAAGGCGGACGAAAAAAGTGCTGGTACTTAAAAGCCATGCTGGAAAGCAATGGCTGAAAGATAGAGGGTAAGCAGTAAAAATAACGAGTCACTCATGCCACGGTGGGCAAAGAAGGCGCTCGTCCCCGGTCTCAGTGCGACAGGTTATACACGCGACATAATTTCCGTGCATGCACGGCATTATGCACTTTCTCTCCTGTGAAATCGAAAAAAACTTTGTGTTAAAATTTGGCTTTTGTTTCGTTTCAGATACCCGTCCTCATTATCCTAGCAGGAGTTGGCGCAGCAGCCTGCTTTCTCTTGGCGGTTATCAAATTCATCCTGGCTAGGCGATTAGGAAGTTTGTCCTTAATCCTCGACGGTGAGTGAAGGTGGCACATTCAACGACATTGCTTTCACAGCCAGTGTTAGTCCGCGTTGGTAGAACAGTGCGTAAGGTGCTCGTCTGCTGACCCGAAGGTCGTGGGTTCGATTCCGGCTGCGGCGGTCGCATTTCAATGGACGCAAGTCGATAGAAGCCTGTGCACTGTGTGTCGTCAGTGCACGTTAAAAAAAATGGACAGTTAGTCGAAATTTTCGCAGCCCTTCACTAAAACGTCTCTCATAATCAGCTCGTCATTTTGGAATTTTGTAAAACCCCAGATATTGCTATACCCAAAGCCGGTTTACAATAATAGCCTAGCCTATCGCTTGACGTTTGGTGTACTCACATTTACTCCCCCCCTCCCCCCTAGCATATTTCTTTTTCATAGCGTTGAGCCACATTCGAGACAAATTACTTTACGTCATTTGGGGTGTAGTTAAACGATAAATTATGTTCCACACTTGCTTAAGAAACGCAAGTAAACTTTTGCTGTTATTTGAGAGTGCAAGACTAGCTTGGTCACGAGAATTTCGTATGACGTTTGGTTGACCGCACATTTGCTGTATGTTTCTCGCGTTTATTATTTACGTATCTATTTCTTTTTGACAAGCCCTTTGCGTCTGGGGGGACTCGTGATTGCCTTTATAACTTGATTTGGACCGAAATTGGCACGAGAAGATAAGAGGGTTTGACGACTATGACTGTCTCGTCATGACATGAATCGCAAGAGAATCTTGTTGCTATACATCAAGTCCTTTTTTCCAGATACGTGTGGCACATATCCGTATACCATGGGCCGCTGTATGCGGGTATGCGCCACAATTAAGTTTCATGTCTACCTATAGGAAGGACGTTAACAGGCGTTGATAATTTAAATGCCAAAGCGTCAAGAAAAACAGACCTGTGCAGCGTTGACCCAATGAATGCAAAGAATAAAAATCATGCAGCAGTAATTGAACCAAATTCTGTGCGATGGTGTTGTCTTCACACAGCCGCGTGGCTCAGCCACGCGAGTTCTTCAAACTGCTTTGGAAGGAGACCTTACGCAGGCGTAATTTCAGTGCAACGACAATTGTAGCTTCAGTGCTGGCTATATAATTTTGTAACAAAGCAAGAAACGTTACCTATGTGCTCCTATAATACTGGCATCATGTTGGGTTAACGTCAGTTGTGGTTTCAGTGTAGACTCGGTTTTATAGCAGTTACTAAACATTACATTTGTGCTCCCATGATTCAAAAAGCTATAGCTAGCTACGATCACGCGTTGTTCAACCGATTAGAAATACATGCGAACCAAGTTGTATGATATTCATGTCATATTGCACCGTAAAGTGCAGTTCGTCTCGAAAATAATGATGTGGGCGCCCTAATGTGAATGCGGACGTTACGTCATATCCTAAGTTGCCCTTTAAATGCCAGTGTAGTCAACATTCCTGGCAAGGCCCACAATGTGCACACAGCTTACAAAAACAATTCGATCCAATTCCCAACGCTTGGCTCAAACCCAAATATATGTAGAGAGAGAGAGAGAAAATTTTAATGCGGAAAGGCAGGGAGGTTAACCAGAAAACATATCCGGTTTGCTACCCTGCACTGGGGAAAGGGTAAGGGGAAAGGGAGGAAGAGAAGCACAAACACACATACACACACTCGCACACAGTAGTGTCACAATCGTTCTACGAGGCGGGTCGCTCGCAGAAACTTCATCAGCGCCTTCGTTGCTTTCTGGCGTGAAGCTCGATCTTTCCGACATTCCAAGATTGACTGCTCAGAAAATGGCTGGTCGTCGAGGCGAGCAAACACTGCTGAGAGGGACTGTCGCTGAGAGCTGTACTGGGGGCACTGACATAAAATATGTTCAATTGTTTCGTCATTGTCGCAATGGTCGCATGTAGCGCTGTCTCTCATTCCGATGCGGCAGGCAAAAGCGTTCGTGAAAGACACCCCAAGCCACATACGGCAGAGAAGGGTCGTCTCGGATCGGGGTAGGCCAGATGGAATAGTAAGTCGTAGGCATGGGTCCAGGCGGTGAAGACGGGTGTGGAGAAAACCGGGCGTATTCCGCATAGACCTTGCGACATCCTGCGCAAGCGTATTAATCTTTGCTGCTGCGTCGCTTCTTGATAGTGGAATAGGTTCCATCACTCCATTTTCGTGAGCATTCTTAGCTGCATTGTCGGCATGCTCGTTACCGATGATGCCGCAATGGCCTGGTAACCACTGAAAAGATATGTCATGTCCTTCGTCTATTAGGTGATGGTACAGTTGTCGTATTTCGAGCGCCAATTGATCTTGAGGTCCACGACGTAGAGTATTGTGTAGACATTGGAGAGCTGGTTTCGAATCAGTAAAAATGCTCCATTTTTGTGGTGTCTCTTGGTCAATCCTGCGGAGTGCGCTGCGGAGTGCCGCGAGCTCCACGGCTGTCGATGTCGTCTTGTGTGACGTTCTGAACTGGATGGTTTCGGCTCTTGCTGGGAAGATCACAGCTCCTGCAGATCCTCCAACAGTTGTTGAGCCATCCGTGTAAAGTTTGACATGATCTTTGTATTCTTCATGTAGCATGAGTAGAATCATCTGCTTTAAAGCTGGCGCCGAGAGCTCCGCCTTCTTGCGAATCCCCGGCACTGTCAAGCGCAGTTTTGGTCGGTCCAAGCACCAAGGAGGTGTTAGTATCCGTTCCGGAGGTGTGTAGACTGTTGGAAGGCACTCACGGAAAGTCAATACTCTCTTACAGAAGGAGGCACTCGGTCGATCTTCTGGAAGCGAAGCTAGGTGGTGGGCAGGGGCGCGAGCAAGGTGTCTAATATGAGATCTAAGCACCTCCAAAGTAATGTGCACTGTGGCCGGATGATCTTTGGCGATTGCGATGGTTTCCGCTGTTGATGTACAGCGTGGTAATCCAAGACAAACTCTGAGTGCCTGGCCCTGGGCGTTTTCTATTGTGCGTATACTGCTTTTGCAAGCGTTCGTCAGAACCGGCAAGCTATACCGCAGGTACCCCAGAAACAGCGTTTTGTACAAATGCAACATCGCGTGCACTGATGTGCCCCACGTTTTGCCTCCGAGGAACTTGAAAAGTTGTGCGATGGCCGTTAGGCGCTTCTTTAGAGTGGCCACATGGGGACTCCAGCAGAGATTTCGATCGATCGTGACCCCCAAAAACCTGTGGGTCCTGGCGTAGCAGACACTGTGTCCATTGATGGCGATGGGATATGACGTCATTGCCTTCCGCGTGAACGCGACCAGCGCCGATTTCTCAGGAGAAATCTCGAGGCCTTGTTCTCTAAGGTACGCCGATATTGAATTCGCTGCTTTCTGGAGTCTCGCACGTACCTGAGGACGTGTTACACCTGATGTCCAGGCACAAATATCATCTGCATAGAGAGATATCTGCACGGAATCTGGTATGCGTTCAACGAGACCGATCAGAACCAGGTTGAACAGTGTGGGGCTCAATACACCACCTTGAGGAACACCACGGTGTGTATAATGTTCAGAAGTCGGCCCATCATCAGTTTGCATAAACAATGATCTCATATGTAGGTAGCATTGGATCCAGCGGTACACTCGCCCACCCAAACCAACTGACTCGAGGGCGTCAAGTATGGCTTCGTGAGAAACATTGTCATATGCTCCTTTGACATCTAAAAATAGTGCGACAGATAACCGTCTGCTCATTTTCTGGTGTTGTACGTAGGTCACCAGGTCAATGACATTGTCAATGGAGCTCCGAAGACGACGAAAACCGGCCATGGCGTCTGGATATATTCTATGGCGTTCTAGGAACCACTCGAGTCTGGCAAGGATCATTCGCTCCATCAGCTTCCCTACGCAACTAGCCAGCGCTATTGGGCGGTATGATGTCAGCTCTAGAGGCGATTTTCCAGGTTTGAGAAGTGCAACCAACCGGCTTGTTTTCCACTCTCTGGGGACCGTTCCATCTCTCCAAGACTCATTGAATACTTCCAGCAAAGCACTTCGTGCTCGATCACCGAGATTGCATAATAGGCGGTATGATATGCCATCCGGCCCAGGCGATGACAATCGATTGCATGAAGCAAGAGCCACATTCAGTTCTTCCATTGAAAAAGGCAGGTCCAGGTGCGGGTCAAGTGAATGTGGCGTGTAATGAGCAGTAAGGGCTTCTGTGCAATTTGGTGGGCCCGCAATCTTCCTACAAAAATCTTCCGCTACCTCGATATCCCTTCTATTTTGGAAAAGGGCCAAGGCTTTAAACGGAAAACGTTGTTGGGGAAATGTGCGTAGGCCTCGCACGGTTCGCCATATTTGAGAAAGCGGTTTGCGAGGGTCTAGACTCGCGCAAAATTTCGCCCACCGTTGAAACTCCAGTTTGTCTATACGACGCTGGATCTTCTTTTGCATGCGCCTGGCCATCCGTAGATCTTGAATGGATTTTGTGCGTCGATATCTACGCTCCGCACGCCGACGAGTCGCACGGAGTCGCTCTAACTCCATGTCCGTTTCTGAGGGCCTTGAAGAATATGCCAGCGTGCGCATCGCACTCTGCGCTGCTTGTTTGATCGCTTGCTCAATGTCAGAGGTTAAGCCTTTTTCACAAGCGTGTTCAATGTTGGTTTTGAATGCTGAAAGATCGATCTTCCGTACGGTTTTCGGCGGGTGGTCGCTAGCAAAGCCTTCGATGGTGAGATAACTGGGGATGTGATCGCTACCATGTGTCTCGATGTCTAAAAACCACTTAACGCTTGTGGCGAAGCGACGTGACACGAACGTCAAGTCCAAACAGCTGCTGTACGTTGATCCTCGCAGAAATGTAGGGCTCCCATCATTAAGTAGAGACAGTTCATGAGTCGATACAAATAAAGCCAGCCTCCGGCCCGTGGTATTGACTTTTGAACTTCCCCAGATTGGGTGGTGGGCGTTGAAGTCTCCTATAATTATCCACGGATCCGGGACGCTCGAAAGAATGTCATCCAGTCTTTGGCAATCAAAACGGGCTGAGGGAGATAAGTAGATACCTATTAATGTGAAGGTGAGGGTTTTCTGCTTCACAGTCAGGCAAACATATTGGTTCTCATCATGAGGCGACACAGGTTGAATGATGTAGGTAAGCTCCCGACGAATATACACAATGACCTTGCTGCTTTCGTTTCGGGTTTTGGACGGGATTGATTCGTAGCCAGATAGCCTGATCGGGTTTGATAATTTCGGTTCACATATTACGATGATTGGGAAAAGGTTAGAAAACACGTACTGACGAAAATCGGAAATCCGTGATCTAAGTCCTCTTGCGTTCCACTGGATGACTGATGCTTCTCTGACGTCTTTGCGGAACGATTGTTGATCTCCTGCCATGACTCTACGCGAGGGAGGCGAGGACTGGGCTCAGCGCGTCCAACACCTGTAACCCGCTTCGAGCGGTTGGAGTTCCCAGGCTTCTTAGTATGTCTGCCATGACAGCGACGAGGGATCGTAACATCGGGATGATCTGTCGATCGACCCTTGACACATCCTCAACGGAAGTAGACTCGGTGGAAGGTGTAGGGCGGCGAGGCCTCGCAGGAGGCTCCTTTGCAGGCTCTGTACGCGGAAGCGTAGGCCACTCATCCGCAGCGATGAGCTTCTCCACTTCTTTTCGCTTCGTGCTTACTACTTCACTCGTGCTCGGAGGAAATGGGTTATGCGCAACACTCTGTCCTCCACGCCTCCGTCGGCGACTACGTCGCCGCCGTACCCTTTCAGCAGCCTCTCTGTGGGTTGAATTGTCCCTAACCATTTGTTTGATAATGGCGATTTCCTTCTTAATCCGAGGGCATTCCTTGGATGCAGCATCATGCGGACCATCACAGTTTCTGCACTTCAGACTTGTTGCCCGACATGCGTCTGCAGTGTGCGGCTCAGCGCATCGGGGGCATACTGTGGTGTTTGCACATACACTCTTGATGTGACCAATTTTCATGCAGTTATGGCACTGGAGTGGTTTAGGGACAAATGGTCGAACAGGATGTCGGAAGTGTCCCACTTTGACATGCGACGGAATGGAATCTCCTTTGAACATTATCTTTACACATCGGGTGTTTCCGAGGCGAAGTACATTCGCGATGAGAACTCCTTCGTTCGCTGGTTTTATGAGAGTTGGGAGGTCCGAGTTTGCTATGGCCAAATCAATGTCGTAGATTACTCCCGCCGTGCAGGCACCGTCCATTGGAATAACCGGTCGTACTTTGATGCCTCCCAAATCTGATACTCTGCGAAGCTTGTCTATGGCGCTGGCAGTCATTGTGTCCACAGCTAGAATATTCTTCCGCGTGTTCACCCGGATATCCTTAATGTCGTTTGGTGCTACCCCCTCAAAGTACATAGAGAGAGCTTGCCTGTTTACTGCTCGAAGGCTGATGGTGGAGTCCTCGGGCATGAAGAGGATGGTGTGCGGCCAGCATTCTCCTTTTGACTGAGACGTTAATGTCCCTGCTGGTGAAGACGACTTGATACTTCTTCTTTTGGCCTTCCTGCTTCTCACGGTCTCGAAGTCGTCATCCGACGAGTCGTCGCCAGTGGCCGAGTACAGTTCCGTGTCCTCGCTGGTGCTCGAACAGGTGCTTCGTTTCCGCGACGAGCTTGCCAAAGGTGGTCTATGGTCGGACATAGCCGCAGAAGGCTCCACGTCCACAGCCATGATGCAGTGACTATCACCGTTGGCCTCACTGGTTCTGGGCCAGGCGCGCTGATTTACCGAGGAGCTCGCCATAGCAGACCTCTGGCTGGGCGGACCAGTGGATGACTCCGCGTCCGTCGCCTTGGGGCAGGGAGCAGCGTCTCCCGTAGAAAGCGGAAAACTTGATAACAATGCTCGGAGCCGAAAGCAGAAGCGTTCTATGAAGAGACACTTCCAAATATATCTATTTACTGGTCATTCCAGACCAAGTGTCCCAAATATGACGCTCGACCATCGCAGATTTTGCCGATAAAGTATACACTATGTTTTTTGTGTGTATCCCCCGCAGTATTTTGGTAAAACAATTTTGCTAGAAAAAAAATTCTGAAAACGATGGCGCCCCGTTATATTTCGCTATTTGGTAAAGTATTCGTAATAAAAAGTATACATGAAATTTATATCTGTGTTTAGCTTCGAAACGATCACTTGAGGTTTTGTTAAGTAGCGCTACTTTATCATTCTGAAAATATTGTTTACCTGTTAGCTAAGCCTTTTGAAAAAACGTACAACAAAAAGTCTTCAAAGTCCGGCATTTTTTTTTGTTAACGAGAACTCTTTAAAAGCAATTGTAATAATATTGTAGTTTTCAGAAAAATTTTGTTGTCGTTGAAGCTACCTAGCTTGCAGGTATACAAACACGAAAATTTCGAAGTGGTTAAATAGCTTAACCAAATGAAACCTATATAGTAGCTCAAGCGTCGTTTCGAAAAGCAACACACAAATATAAATTTTATAAACGTTTTTTTACTAGGCGCAATTAAGCAAAATATAGTGAACTTTAAGAAGCCGTCACGGTCTTGAACAATTTTTCGAGCAAAAATAATTGGCTGCAATACTCCGTGGGATATACGAAAAATGTGCACTTTATAGCAGAATCCGTAATGGTCTACAGCCACGTCTGCGACATTTGGCATGAAATAACCCATATATAATATGTGCAGCATGGACAATTACTCCCCGACTGCTTCGCATGTAACCGATCCCAACAAGGGGTGGGATCTTCTGAATGTTTTAAATTCACATTATGTTGGAGTACGACTAAAAGCATTGAGAGACAGCTGCTTGTACTGATACACGTTGTGCAGCACTCGGTTTCATGTTGAAGCAAAACGGCCAAATATAATTGTGGCCAAGTTAAATTTTGGCTGTCATTCAATTTCGAATACAATCACACAGTTTTACCTCCAGAATATTTCTGTCAGTGACGGAAACCTAATCGCTGCCGTTCAATAAATTCGGCTCGCTAATGACTCACACAAATTAGTTTGTTTATATGTGTTCATTCATGTATTTACTTATGATTGTCATTTCGTATTCGTATGTCGAACCGACACTTAGCTTGCTGTGATAAAAGGGCTTTGATGAGGTCCACATCTTGCGAAAGCGTTATAGTAGCAATAGGCATGTAAGCTTCAACAAATGAGAAATATCAAGAGAGAATAATCATGCACGTTGTTTATGTACTAAAGTGTAAGTTTATTAGCTACAAACTTTGTCGATTTGGTCACCTTCACGCTCGAGAAAGTCGCATCTTCACGAAGGTGCGTGTCTGTAAACTCATTCGCTCAGACTATACTCGTTCACAATTTGTTTTATGCGTTGTGAACGAACGAACGAGTTATTCTACGTGTCGCTAGCCTATACCAATAGAACGACCGAAGGCAGTTTTCTAGAGTTGTCGCGACTCGCCAGTGTTCCATCTCCTGGAGGTTCTCACCCGCAACTATACCGCTGTGGCCTGAGTGATGCCTGCAAAAAACTTCTGTGCCTCCCACTCGTACCTGCAAAGCCCCCTGTGCACTTTGAAGTGTCAGGGATATAAAAAAAAAGCTAGTCTGTCATCTGCAGCACTCAAGCAGATGTCATTGTATCTTTTGCATGTATTGTGCTAACCGAACTCATATATATACGGACGCTTCGGTCTCTGGGAAGTAGGCTGGGTGCCTTTGTGGTTCCATCATCACTTGGTGTTTCAAATCAATAAAATAAGTGATTGCGGCCCTGAGGAAATGACGCAGTCTTTCAATGGCTGCCGGATCACTGTGGCATCAGTGGTAAACACGTTGCCGACAGCGCTGCCCGATGTGCTCGTGAAGGAGCGCCCACACTATTCATACCCCTGTTAAGAGTCGATGCTGCAAGATATCTTTGCCACATCACGCATAATTCCACGTTTATGTATTGGAATCTTCCACTAAACTCCACTCGTCACCCACAAATACATCGGTTCACCACTCAAATTACAACTGCCATAAAAGGCTTCGTGACAGGACGCTACAATGTCTGTAGTGGGTCGTCAGCGTAGCCTTCACCAACTCATTCAGTTATCGCATTGGTATGGCTGACTCATCCAAGTGTAACAACTGCGACTGTGTAGAAGCTCTTGACCGTCTTGTGCCACTGTCTCAACTTTGAACAAAATCACCCGACTTTCCAGTGTGCCTTGAGTAGACAGGATGATCGTTCCTTTACTCAGGAGAAGATCTTGGTTGCGTGGTTTTCAAGTGCATCAGCACAGAAAGCCACTCGAGCCTTCCTACATTTCTTGAGGGTAACATCGCTGAGCGACTACCTGCACTGCGTGTGCGGTGTGTGTGCAGAACGCAATGTGCATCTCCTTCTCTCTCTTTTACATCACTATTACCCTCTTCCCACGTGCAAGGTAGCAAACTGGACGTAGTATAGTTAACTTCTCTACCTTTCTTACATTCTTTCTTTCTATAAAAGGCTCTTGTTTACATAATTTTTGCATTGCGACTGTGAGTGACATCTCCTCTTTTTTCTTTTCAGGGATAAACTCCTTAATTAGCAGCTTTTGTGCCGTGGCCATAATTGTGAGCGACCTGGTGTACGACTCCAACCCCGAGGTCTGGTACATGGACGCCGTGCTTAGCACTGTTGCTGCGCTCATCATGCTCCTCGTCGGGGCCAAGTAAGGGCTCACTGTGACACCATTTGTTAGAACTATACACTACTTTTCTGCAGTTGCATTCACTAGTTGGATGATAGAGGAAAGAAGCTTTGCCTGCAGCGTCTTTGGGAAAGCTCTAGGATTTAGCACTGGCCAATCACCACATTTCAAGATCAGTGCAGTGAGACTAAGACTAAAGGCACGTGAGGAGTGCTTCATTATTTAGGAATAAAGTCACTGTTCTTAAAAAAACGATGTACTATATGTGCTTTTGCAGTTTCACAGTTCGTTTTTTATATCGTATTTGGACCAAGAGTACATGGTTCTTCTCTATTTACCAGCACCAATGGAAAAAGGACGGACTGCAACTAATCCAAAAGTTCTATACTAGCGTGAATAGAAAACTAATATCACTAGTTTGTTTTCTCTCACAGTGCAAACGCGAGTAGCCTCTGAGCTGAGCCGGGCCCCTTGACTTTCAGCTTGTTCTTTTTCAGGGTGCTGTTTGAAAACTTATCGATAGGACGTCCCGGCCACATGACACTTCAGTGAAACACGGGGACCTCGAGACAACGTATTTCCGTTTGGAATTGGGACGATTGCTCCCCTTAGTCCCGTTCTCTGTCCACACACTGTGAAGCAGCGCGGCTGTTGCGTGCAAGTATTTTTTCTCCTGGCGTCCACAGCAGGCTACAAGCTGCCAGGTGACTCTGCACGTTCTCTGCTGGACAGACGGCGATGCTCCCAAGTTGACCTGTGTACCGCAATGTTCTCACAGTGGTGCGGTGGTACACCACCTTATTTAAGCTGAACAGAGCAAACGAAGTGAGTTTAAACTCTCCGTGTGCAGCTTGTTAAGCCGCACGGGCAGCTGTGTATCCGAGGGCTACGAGAAACTTGGTTTCTCATGCGAAGATCTTTTCTTTAAAGAGAAGTGTCGTACGTATGGCAGTATGCTTGGTCGAGTGGTTGATTGAACATTAGTGAGAGCGAGAGACGCTCACTCGCGCATTTCTTCTGTAAGGAGCGGTCCTACCATAAACTTAAACGAGGCAAGGGAAAGGGTGGTCAATTATACGTTAACGCACACCACCGCGTTCATTGGAGCCACTTCGTAGCTTGCACGAGCCGCTGGTCACGCTTTGCACTTGTGGTTAGCGTCACGCGCGGCTACGTGGCAGTGACGAAGTTGACTAGGTTGTGTCAGTCGCAGCTATGCCATTATAACACGATGTAAGACCTTGATTTAGAAGCCAGAGGCGCACCGTCTAAGTACTTCAGAGTGCTGAGAGCGTTTCAGCCTGGATCGATTCTTTCGAGTCTTTCACAACCGATCAGTGTTACGTGCTTTGCGGCCATCTGGAAGGGCTTCGGTGCCGGCTGTAGGCATTCCAATGTTATGGGAACCGCCAAATGAACGCGCTCGAGGATCCCATTGTTATAGTTTAAACATTGCTATCAGTGAGAAAATATATATATAATTGCATGCATAACAAGTTTTTATTGTTTTATTCTGTGTGAATTGTCATCGTGTAAACAATGTTTAAAAATTACATTATAACATTGACATGTAGTGCAATTCGCCCACTTGTGAACCATGCTACAAGCATATTTATTTCTCGTTCGTTTGTTGTTTTTTCTTAATACGTCTGCTGTGAACACAATAAAAATATCATCCAAGCTTATGAGTAGCTTCTTGTGGATTCTTGTCGCTTTTTTCATTTATAAGCCAGTGAAACGATGGGAATTTACTTACCGCTGAAAGTAAAAAAACTGTCTTTTTGTCAGAGAGAGATAAAAAAATAGATCAAAAGTAAACCACAGGGAGGTTAACCTGGTACAAGTAACTTGTTCGCTACCCTGCACAGGGGTGGGAAATAGGATTGTAACGAGGAGAGAGAGGAATTCTGCAAGGAAACAAACCTACTGAACAGCATTAACCCCACATCGCTTCAGCAATGCTATAAGCAACTTACCAGGAGTCCTCTTCTTTACTTGTAATCAGTCAGTCTAAAAGGTCTAAAATTCTGTGCATATGACTTAAAAATTCAAGGTTCTGGCCACCGCGATTCTCTCCCGTACTACGACCGCTAGAAGTAAGGTCACTCGGTGGTGTTTGGGAAGCACTGGGAGATCACTCCGATTTCCTAGTCTAACAAACCAATCTGCCTCGAGAACCCTAGCCTGATCTCCCTCACCGTGTTCGCAATATTGCTGTTTGAAGACATGGTACACAACTCGTACCTATAGAATAACGGACACCTACCGGACAGGAGCCCCTTGTGCGCACGACACTCTTCCCGCTCAAATAAGACCTCATCAATCACATTAACAATCGGAGAATATGCTGCATATTGCCAGTCGATGTCTTTGTTTCGTTATCCACTACATGATCCTGTGCCACCAGGACCTACGTGTGGGTCACTTAGAGACTGACCGCATGGAGGCAGAGTTTAAAGCTGACGCCATCAAAGGGGAGCGTCACTTTCAGATGACCGCATGAAAACCGTAGTGAAAACTTACTCGTTCAAAGGAAGGTTCAAGCGAAACTCCGATGCCCGCTACAATGTGGCCAAGTAAATACGCGTCGAAACGCACACGCTGTCATCGTCGAATAAACCGCAGGCAGTGAGCTAACATCGGTCACGTAGAAGGCGTGCAACGCAGAAACCTCGCCTCTACTATACATACGCAGACACAGCGGGCACATTCATCGACTCGGGCAACTTCTCGAGAGTCTGCGTCAAAGCTTTCATCGTGCGTTTCGGATACTGTTGAATCCGATTATGAAGCTTTCAGCGAAATTGCCATCTGAGGAAGTCTCGGAGCTTCGCTTGCATACAGACTGCACAAGTTACCCAGCACTTGTAATCGAAGTAGAAACGCAGTCCTGGTTTGCGTGCTGCTGATGAGATTTAAAAGTAGCAAACTCGGTGGATATACACTGTAAATGGTGCAATAAAAGGAAAGCTTGGAGGCGAAAGTTTGGTTTCTAAACTCGTGCTGTGCTGCATTTCTTCGGCAGAGGCTTGTATGTGCTACTTGTAAAGATCTAGTATTGTCCCTTAAGTTCATTGTTCTTTGTAGGGGAACAGTGCACCGAAGCAAAAGCGATATTCTCTTCAGGCATAGTAGTGCAAATAGGGTTTCCGTTATTCATCTTATTTTGTATTTATATTAATGTGTGCTCTCCGCAACAATTAGATCATAATGTGCCCACTATTCTTAAGATTTCACTGTATGAGTTGAGTTCGAAATTTGAGTCGGGATGACATATTGGGCCTTTTGTTAGTCTACATAGACGCCGCAAGAGGATGAACTCTGCATTTTTTTTTTGTTGGGGTTTCCATGAAAACTTCCCCCACTTCTGGTAAATGCTTGCGCCAACTGAAAAGAATTTATGAAAACCACTTTTAATGGTCATAGAAGCATTTATCTCGCCTGTAGTCTTCGTTTAGCTATGTAGGGATTTTACACTGAAAATACAAAAACATTGTTTTTGTCCAAAATGCCTTTTCCCCCATCAGTTTTTTTCTCTTTTCACGCATGCAGGCGAATAGTTTGATACCTTATCCTTTGTTTACAAGGTTTATTGTAATAATTTATTGCATTTAATAGCTCAAAACAACGATTTAAGATCAGAGACGCCACAGAAACGGGCTCCGGGACTTTTAACCACCTGGGGTTTTTTAAGTTGCTCCTAAATATAAGTACACGAGCCTCGAGCATTGTAGCTTCGATCGAAAATGCGACCACCGCCTACGGAATCCGCTGTCGCAATCTGGCGCTAAAATTAAGCTTTTATTAGACACCAGGAACTAATTTTAATACGCAATTTGATGTACTCGAAACTGCCTTTTGTTTTTGTTTTTGTCTTTATTTTTTTTAACTTTTGAATGTTGGCGCGCATCTGCGCCGTCAGCTCGCACTGGCAACGTAGACCTCTGACTGCTACGAAATTGGTTGGTGCGAAAAGGAGACAGAGAGGAATAAAAAAAACGCTGCTTCCGCTAGAGGCCTAGGGCCAAAGCACAGCGAAGTTAGTCGATCTCATAATTTCCTATAGTATGTCATGATTGATTGAACTTGGCCTTTTCAAGCTTATAAAGTCGTGGTGGCGGGATCGGCGCCGCTCTTACTCGGTTTCCCGAATCACTGGGTCCTGGCACCGCATCCGTTCTCACACAGTATCCCGTTCGCGTACACGCCTGTTACATTCGCGTTCATCTCGTCGTCGACGCCTCTTGTTATCTACAGCTCTGGCTGTGTATCGGGGATCGACTTATCGTTGCCGTTGTCTCTCCCGCACAGCATCTCGCTTCGCGAAACGCGGCCTCCTCCTCGGGAGTGCGTGATTTCTTAGGGCGACCCACGGCAGCTGTCTCGACACGCCACGATTTTCATCACTTAACTCGAGCACGGTTGCTGCGCACTTGTTTTCCGGCGCATACGCGGCTCGACATGACGTCACTCTAGTTGGCGCGTAGCGATGTTCAACTTCGCACGAGTGCTCCGGCGTGATCGGCGCAGAACTTGGGCTACCCCGGCGCACACGTCACTTGAAATGATGTCACACCGACCGTGCGAGGTGAGCTGTTGCTAGGCAACGGCGCATCGAGGTTTTTTCGAGATAGGGTAGGACGCAATACGGCTAATGTTTTTTTAACAGCTTCGCTGTTGTAAAAACATGAAATTGGGCACTTGTGAGGATCATGAAGTGTAGACACTGGTAAATGGGTACGCTGAGAATAAAGCATGCAATGTATTTCTCACGGAGGAACATGAGCGGATGAACTTCTGTCCCACGTTGAAACCCTGGCCAAACCACCAAAGTGAACGCAGCAGCGAAAAATATGGTAAAGAAATTCTTTGTCCGCAAATCTAAGAGTACTTTTTTTCCGCATATATGTGGTCAAAGCTAGCGTCAGTCAGGTACGTGTGGTAGCAACAAGCGCTTCAATTTAAGCGAAAACAAGTGAAGTTATTATCTTTATTCTCTTTATTTTGATTTAGAGTCCTCTACTACGAAGTCTTGGCCAAAGCAAACGGCGCTATAAAATACGTGAAATTGAAATGTTTGACAAGAAATAGTAGTATCGCAGGCTCTCATCAATAAAACGGAATATGTGTGTATATGCAAAATTTATTCATGCGAAAAATTTCGCCCCGGTGGCCGCATTTCGATGGGAAATGAGAAAAACACCCGTGTGCTTATATTTAGTGAACGTCAAAACAAGCCTATATGAGCCGAGATGAATCCGGAATTAAACCCGAGCCTTCTATTACCGTGTGGATCACAATCTCACAGAGGTTTTCACACGTAAAAACTTCGCAATCATTGTTTAACAAGTACCATTCTACCACTGAAAGAAAAACGAGAAGACATCTAAATGGCCCTGCAGAAAGAGTCCCAGTTTGAAGCTGTACGCGGGAAAGAAAAACTCTTCGAAAGTTTCAGTTGTTGCAAACATTGGTTCGAGCAAATGACATCTCGTGTGGCATGTTCATCTGGTCGCCAGTTGCATAAATATTGATCGATGCGGTATCTTCAGTTCGTTGACGTAGCCAGAGTCGTTGTCCCCACCATCCCTCCGAATTAAAAAAAATGCATGTGTATGTACTGGGTGTTACAACAAATGTGCCCGAAAATCATGATACATACGAGAAAAGAAATATTCCATTGCTGCCTTCAGAAACACTTCTTCTGTGGTGGTACAAAACAGCCCTGCCGCGGTGGTCTAGTGGCTAAGGTACTCGGCTGCTGACCCGCAGGTCACGGGATCGAATCCCGGCTGCGGCGGCTGCATTTCCGATGGAGGCGGAAATGTATTAGGCCCGTGTGCTCAGATTTGGGTGCACGTTAAAGAACCCCAGGTGGTCGAAATTTCCGGAGCCCTCTACTACGGTGTCTCTCATAATCATATGGTGGTTTTAGGACGTTAAACCTCACATATAAATAAATCAATCAGTTAGTGGTACAAAACATGGAGGATTTTACATATAATGTACGAAAAAAAAAAGATTGCTAACCTTTCCGAATAAGGTAGAGATGCTTCGGGTGTGCCCTTCTTGCGAAGAGCTCATTGCTGCATTCAGATATCGAGCACTTTAGATAGGCGCCCCTTATTCAAAGTTTGTCTCGCAATACTTTCTGAACATGGCTATCTCCTGTATTTTGAAAATGAGAAAAAAACCGGATGCGTATGTTAAAAAAACTATTGTGAAATGATTCAGTACAATGAGAAGTATGCATTTTCTTACGTGTAATATTATACTGGATTATCGATTGGTCTAGTATCTTAGAGTGACACTGAGGGTTCAACCCTTTTCCTGCAGAATACGAGCTGAGCTCGTCCATCATAAAACAAGCACTTGGGAGCCCCGCAGTTAAAGCTACCCGGACTCATTTCACTGTGTTCTCAATGGTTTAAACCTGTACGACAGTAAAAAGTATCAAAAACCGCTGAAAACATGCATTTTGGCAGAGAAAGGGTTTTATTCCTTTAAAGGTAATCAGAAGATGGCGTCCTCTTTGGAACGCTGCCAGAACATCTCGATTCAGAAAAAAAAGAGCCGTTATTTGCTGAAGTTTTATGAAATCGAGAATTTCAGTTCTCCTGCGTGTGTGGCAGCGACTAGAGATAGCAGCATAGCTTCTTTGAATCAATGGATCCGGGCGATGACC